CCAACAATTTTGAGGTGAGCACCTCAGTGATCACCATGTTGCGCGGTTCAGTGGTGTTCCGTGGTAAGGAGGGAGAGTGCCCTCGATCACATCTCAGGCGATTCCACGAGCTCATCGATGGAATCAAGATCAATGGAGTACCAGCAGATGCCATCCAGCTGAGGTACTTTCCATTTACTCTGGAGGGGCAAGCCAAGGAGTGGCTAGACACTCGACCTCCGGGCTCCATCACCACGTTCGCCAGCCTGGCGGACAAGTTCCTCACCCGCTACCATCCTCCATCCAAGACAGCTGATCTGCAGAAGCAAATTACACATTTTTCTCAGGATGAGGATGAGACCATTAGGGATGCTTGGGAGAGATACACCAGCCTCTTTCTCAGGTGTCCCAATCATATTTTCAATGATGCATTCAAGGTGGGCACCTTCTATCACGCCCTCTTCCCGGAGGACAAGCAGCTGATTGATTCGGTTTGTGGCGGGAACATGCTGACAAAAACCCCGCCACAGCTGAATCAACTCTTTGAGGAGATGGCGGAGAACGGGTACGACTGGGACACTGCCAGGAGATCAAGACGAGCACCTGGACGGGGTGTGCATGCTGTGGGCACCTAGTCATCTGATTTGGTGCAGGTGGTATCGAAGCTGGTTTCAGCTATCGATCGTTCTGGTTTGATTGCAGGTACAGGACCGCCGCAGGCGATGCACTGCCAGTGGTGTGAGAGCTCTCATCACACCGTGGAGGACTGTCAGGCGATGAGGGAGTCGTCTACTCCCCAGGAGCAGGTGGACTTCATCGGGAATGCCAGGCGCTTTGACCCCTACAGCAACACCTATAATGAAGGGTGGCGCCAGCATCCTAACTTTTCCTGGGCTGGGCCAAATCCCAGACCACCAGCTCCCCAGGGACCACCCGGTTTTCAGAGGCCTCCATACCAGCCCAGATAGGGGCAATTTCAGCAGCCACAGCAGCCACTCTACCCGCCCAGACAGGGACCAGTTCCTCCTCAGTCACAGGTGCGACCATTTCAGCAGGCAGGGGCAGCACCTGCAGCCCCAATACAGAGTGACCCGATGGCGGAATTGAGAGATCTGGTGGGTTCTCTCGCCAGTTCTAGTGCTCAGAAATTCAACACCATTGAGCAGTACATGGAGAAGGCCTCGGGAAAATTCCTGGCTCTTGAAGTTGGTCAGAGGAACACACAGGCTGTCTTGCAGGATATCCAGACCCAGCTGGGAAGCGTGGCTCAGGCAGTGGCTCAAAGGGCTCCCGTTACTCTACCCGGGCAGACCATCTCTCATCCGCCGACACCGAATGAGCACTGCAATGCCATCATGACCAGGAGTGGCAAGATGACTGTTGATCCACCTGTTTGGGAACAGGAGAGAGAGGCCCCTGCCTCGGCATCTCCAGCAGCTGAAGAAGAAATAGAGAAGGAGGTTGAGGTGCCTGCACCTCAACCGCAGCCAGTAGTGAAGGAGTATATCCCTAAACTCCCCTTCCCTACTCGGTTGCACAAAGATAGGTTGGAGGCAGAGTTCGAGAACTTCATGGCCATGCTTAGGAAGCTGAATGTCCAAGTGCCTTTCCTGGAGGCACTATCTCAAATGCCTAAGTATGCGAAGTTCCTGAAGGATCTTCTCTCAAAGAAGCAGAAGCTGAGCGAGCTGGCCACTGTGGAGCTCAGCGAGGAGTGCTCGGCCATTCTGCAGAACAAGCTTCCGCAGAAACAGAAGGACCCAGGTAGTTTTACTATCCCGTGCTCTATTGAGAATTTGCATGTAGAGAGGTCCTTGGCGGATTTAGGTGCTAGTATAAATGTTATGCCATATAAACTGTTTCAGAAACTAGGCCTAGGTGAACCCCGTGCTACTAGGATGAGCCTTCAATTAGCAGACCAATCTGTAGTGCATCCTAGGAGCATAGTGGAAGACCTTCTGGTTAAGGTTGGCACATTCAATTATCCGGTTGATTTTGTGATTTTGGACATAAATGAGGATGTGAATGTGTCATTGATACTGGGAAGGCCTTTCCTGGCCACCGCCAAGGCCCTCATAGATGTGCATGATGGGACCTTAGTTTTGAGGGATGGTGAGGAGCGAATAACGTTTTCAGTTGCTAACACTATACCTGCTTCGTTACCTCTGCATGCTGTATCTCACCAGGAGCACGAGTCTGTCGTGTATCCTTCTGTGCTGCCTATTTTACAGGACCCGCCTCCCACACCTTCGCCGCCACTCCTGACCACTCCATCACCAAACATACATATCAAGGAGGAGTGGCGGCCGAAACTGCAGGCAGCTAAGCCTGCTCGAAAGAAAGCCGTAGACCACTATGAGCTGGTCCCGCCCCCACCTTGGCCATCCGAGTATTCACTCGCTTGCATCTTACCGGATGGCCAAGTCGAGTTGGCAAATGCTGGTGGTCACATTCGTCGCGTGCATGGCCACCATTTGAAGCTGTACCTCAAGAGCGATGTGGATCCGCTCTTGAAGGCACCTGATCCTACACTTCCCTGAGCATCCATACTGGCGTCCAGCTAAAAGACGGTAAATAAGCGCTTGTGGGGAGGCAACCCCACCGAGGTTTGCATTTTCTTACTCTTTTTCCTTTGATTTTTGGTGTTTTTGAGTCTTGAGACGTTGATCCAGAGTCATGTGTCGGTTTTTGAGTGAAAACAGGTTGAATTCGGGGCTCCAGCACTGTGCACGCTAGGCCACCAACTTGCACGGCCGTGCGAAATTTTTCCCTGGCCGTGCAAGCTCTCGGCAAAAAGCGCACGGCCAAAAGTGCACATTGCACGGCCGTGTGACTCAGCCTGGCCTGGCCGTGTGGCCGACACGGGCAAAAACTTGACTCGCACGGCCGTGTGGAATTCTCCCCCTGGCCGTGCGAGCTCTCGGCAAAATCCGCACGGCCAAATGTGCACACTGCACGGCCGTGCGGAATTCCTCGGCCAGGCCGTGTCGGCCAGCACGGGCAAAAGCACCACCTGCACGGCCGTGCGAGCCTACCCGTGCAGACGAGGCACGACCTATAAATTCGGCCTGCACGGCCGAGCAGGTCAGTTTTTTCAAAAAACCTCGCCGGAATCCTCTGTCCTCGCCGGAAAACCGCGACCAAACCCCCATTTTTCTATTTTTTCGGCCACTTTGGGTTATTTTTTCACCGAATCAACAACAAACCCACCCTTTCTACACCCAAAGCGGCCTATCCCTCGATTTTGAGCGAGTTTGGACGACGTTTTGTCGCAGGAGGCGATTTCCGGCGAGACTCCGGCGAGGCTCCGACGAGCACTTCCGGCCAGTTTTTCGGCGTTTCGTCGCTTCCATTGCCTTCCCCTCATCATCCCCTACACCTCTACTTGAGTCTCCAGGTTTGATTTTGCCCTTAACTATGTTAATTGTGGAGAATTGAGTGTGTAGGGTGTATGTTAGAGAACCTTATTGAATCATGGGATTTTTGTGAAATTGATTGAGGGGAATGCATGGAATGTGAATGAATTGTGTTGGGCAAAGTCCCCCTTGCTTGTTTGAGCCCTTGTGTGCAAGAATTGTGCCAATTTCATGCCTAGCTTAATAGTGCACACAAGGTGTTCGATGAAATGCCTGTCTTTCATGCCATGTTGTGGCCACCGGTTGGGGCCCTTAATGACGTAGTTTGAGGGTGTATTTGCTATGGATGTAAACCTTGAGTTGCCTATTTTCTCGTGAATGTGCACCCCCACTCAGATTATGCTTGATTTATCGAGTTGTTGACCCCCGAACTATGGATGAAACAATGGTTCGGCTGTTTTTCTGTTCTTAATTGTGGGGGTGTGATTGACGTTTTCTTTGGCTCTTTTGGTTCCACTTTGGGGTATTCTTTTGCAGGACAATGTCGAAACCTGACCTCAAGCACCCGTTCATCCGGGATCTACGGAGGGGCCCCACCGAGGCTCGCTTCAAGGAGGTCCTGGCCACCCCGTTTGGGCAACACCATTGCTGGTCCAAACGGGAGTTTCGGAAATTGCACTGCTACGAGCAACTCTCCGCTGCCCTCGAAAACCGCACCTGGCGCCGTCTTCTCACCGTCTGCGAGAAGGTCTACTACGAGCCCGTCCTGGAGTTCTACACGACTTTCAGGCACACACAGACGACCGATTGGAAAGACGGTACAGCCATCAGATTCAGGCTAGGCGGTGCCCCCCGGTCGATGAGCTACCATGAGCTGGCCGAGGCTCTCGACCTCGACCTGGATGACGATGTGGACTACATCACCGAGGTCGACGACCCACCGGAGGTGGATTTCATGCGGCTGTACACCCGCCTAGCTAAGCCAGGCCAGAGGAAACCCTTCGCGGCTGGGAGGACGAAGGCCACTACACTCGAAAGTCACCCCTCTCTAACTCCCTTTGCAATCGACAGAGCGAACCTCACACCCTAATGATATTTTTTTCTTTGATGTTATTGAATGATGATGATCTTGCGGTGTTTGTTTTTTTATGTCTTGTTAGTTGGTAATAGCTAATTGGATGAATAAGTTTGATTAATTTTATTATATGAATTGAAATTTGAATCGAAATCACGATGAATTATCATTTTATGTTAACAATATAAAAATATAGTTAAATTACTTTGAATTATTTATATGATTATTCATCTTTAATATTTAGTACTCTTATTTAAGGGAGGAAAGGGAACTCATCCAATCACCATCACAAAACTAAGGATCAAAATCACAAAAATGGAGCCACACTTTTTTTATTTATATTGATCTGTAACAATAATACACTACTTGATTGCAGCAGCCACTATATAGAGAAATACCAAAAGGTGAAGAAACAAAAGAATTAATAGTGTGAATTATATGTGTAAAGGGCTCCAAGTAGCTACCCATGAAGATAAACTAAATGGTTCGCATCTTACAAAAAAAAAAAAGATAAATTAAATAATTAAGAAACAAACTTTATATAAAAAAAGGTATACTATAACGAATAAATTTTAATTAAGTCAAGACGATCAGTGTCCCACTCCTGGGCTGGGACCATCATTGGCAGCATTGGTGAAGCTGTTCCCAACGCCGGGGCTGGGCCCCGATTGCTTCACCGCCCCAAGGGCCAACCCCTCCCAAAAGGCCGCATCGGCCCACCAGCTCCCGCCACTCTGCGCATCGGGCCGCTTCAATATATTCAACGGCCGAGACTCCACTCCGCAGCCAAGCACCTGAATCATAACCGCAACGGCGATCATCAGAACGGTCACAATCCGGACGAATCCTGCTCTTGCCATTGATCGGGTTAATAATTTGGAATCTAGGAAGGGAATTGGGAAGCTATGTTGTTTTCTGTGTATGTTTATGGGAAGGCGAGGAATTAATATTGCACGTCAAGTGTTTGTGGAAATGCCTCTGTGGTTCGAGGTGTATATATATAGTTCGAAAGCAGGCAAAGCTGACTCTGAATGTTGAAACGGAAATTTGTGCTTGTTTCCAAGGGGGAAAGGAACCAGCGGCGATGGTTCGGATCGGTCCATCCATAAGACTTGGGGAGCAATGTAATTTAGTCAGTTGTCTGGTCCAACATGATAACTCACTCCGCCATTGGATTTGGGGGAAGAAGAAGACCAAATAATACCCGGATTTTCTAAAGCCATCTCAACGAGCTAGCCCAAATTCAAATTTTGGATGGGAACTTGGACTTGTGAGATTAATTATTCCTCAAGTTGGAATTTGACTTAAGTGGCATATGACAATAATGCCAGGGAGAGGCAAAGGGCGTCTGACTCATTTATTTCACGTTTACATGCCACCCTAGTCAATTTAGGTTGTAGAGATGCACGAGTGCATGGTGATGCATGTGCATGGATCATGTTGTCCATCTTTATTTATATGCATGATTATACAGCAATTAGCCTATGACACAAACCCTAGTTGATTTATTGTGAAGGGTGTGCGCCTATATATGGAAGGGATTGTGCAGGGCTTGTAACCGTAAGAAAAATAGACTGAATAGTAATTAAAAAAACCGTAATTTCCAACCCATGAATTTTCTCTGCGTTATCGACGTTCTGCGTCTTACCCTGGTTGCATTATGAGCATGATAGAAAGAACAATGTCAAGCAGGCTACATCAACCAAACCTCTTATAAATCGAATAGCGGTGTTTCGTTGGCGAAGCTCGCGTGTTCAATGCGCACTGTTTTCAACAAAACACAACGTCAATCACAACCGTCAAATATCCACCGCCGAAGTCGGCGCCGTTGATGTGATCGATTAAACAGAAACCAAGAAGACCGTCAAATATCCACCGCCGGCGTCGGCGATGTTGATTTGATCGATGCCCCTTTGACTTCTAATCAAACAACCGTTATTCGGTTCACCACCTCTCCAAACTACGTTCGAACGAGGGTGTTCGGCGAATAACCAGAAAATCGAACCAGGAGTGTTCTAAGTTACGTTACCTCTACTCCTATGGAGATTCCTCTGGAGAGCTCCGCAACTACGACTACGATCTACAACTACTACGACTCTACAAAGGAGGTCTTTGACAGAGAAGTTCTACGAACTAGAGAGAAAAAGATAGATTCTGCGATGGTGCAGTTGTGATTTGATTTTGCCGTCCTCAGCTTCTCTCTCTTCCCCATCTTTATACTTCGCTCTCCTCCCCACAGTCATAGTAACTGCCTTCGCGCCTTTGTCTCCCACGTCTTTATTCCTGTCAACCGTGCAGGTAACTTCCTCCTTGTTGCGTAACTCCACGAGTGCGAAACCGCTTGGACACGCGGAAACTTGGCCAAAACGACACCAACCAATATCCACAAAACTCTCGCCACTCAAAGTTGTTTTCTATTAAACAACATCGTTTCAGTACCGCGGCGGTGTTGATATCTCCCACGATGTTGTTTTCGACTAAACGACACCGTCTAAACCAATCCTTAAAATATTAATTAATTAAACCAGCCATCATTGTTGACACTCCGTCAAACCCTCACCTCGCGGCGCCGTTCTTAATTAAACAACATTGTTTTCTAGTTCTGCGATGCTGTTGAACTTCGCGATGCCGTTTAAACATTGTCGTTTGCTAATACGGCTGTACTGTTGGGCTTGCTCACGATGCCGTTTTTAATTAAACGACACCACTAACATAACCAAAAAATATCAATCCATGGAACCGTCGCCAGTCTGCACTCGCATTGGGCTGGGCCAATTTTGGTCACTTACCCGGTATGGTTTTTAATTAATCAGTACCGCTTCTCAAGGCTCCCGCGGCATCGTTTTTTAAATCCGCGGTACCGTTTTAATTCTCCGCGATGCTGCTTGTCTCCATGCGGTACCTCTTATCTCCTTCCAACAAGGAATAACAATAATAATAATAATAATAATAATAATAATAATAATAATAATAATAATAATAAACTCATTTTCTAACACCAATACCAAAACTCGCGACCCCATCTTGTTTTCCGGCGGTGTCGTTTTCTATGCCGCGGTACCGCTTTTCTGTTTCGCGGAATCGTTTTAACCATCCGCGATGCCGCTTGTCTCTACGCGGTGTCGTTCCTCTCTCCTTCTCCGATAAGGAATAAAAAAAACACTCATTTTCCAACAACAACACCAATCTTGCGGCCCATGTATCACAACAATGATTTCCTAGTAAACAATGTCGTTTCAAGTGCCGCGGTATCGCTGAGTTTCCTTGCGATGTCGTTTTCTAGCTGAGCGACACCGTTGGATCTCGCTGCGGCGTCGCTTGTCTCCAAACGACACCGTTTCTATCATTCGGTATCGAATTAAATGCCGAGACTAATAATTGCGGCAATGAATTTAGGCCAAATTAATTTTAGGTGTCAACAAGCGGCAGTACACTGCCCTCAACTTCCTCTCTCTCATTTCAATTCTCTGCCCTCTCTCTAGCATCCCCTTTCCATTCTCCATTGGGGGTGCCGCCGGTTTCACCTTTGAGTGATCGGCGGCAACCCATTTTCCAGCTTTTAATGTTTTCCTTGCTCCTCTCTTTCCAGCCCCTTTGTGGGTTTCTCCGTATCTAGTTTGCTACTGCCCTTCTGTGGATTTTGCCATGAACTTCTCTTCGGAGTTGTTTCCTCCTCCACATTTCAGATCTGTAGTCAGATCTTGAAGTCGTTCTTGGTGTGCAGAGGGAATTGCTTTGCAATTTACAACATTCTTATTGACTTTTGGAGCTCGCCTCCTTGCTTCACTCTAAATGGCCAGTGATTCGGTGGTTTGGCTTGATGCCTTGGGTTCTACTGTCAATTGTTTTGTTGTAGGGATTTTGGATTCTTCTTTGAAATTTTGTTGCCCTGTTTCTCTTTTTCTGTTTTGCTTGGATCGGTGGTGCTTGGATGCCTGTCGGCGGGTTTGGGTTCGTCGGTGGTGTTGCGTGTTGATGTGGGGTTTGGGACGGTTGGCTTGTGCTCGCCTTTTGGCTCCTGGTGTTGTTGCTTGCTGGTGGGTTTCTGGGTTTTGTGGTGGTGACGGGGTTCTTCGTGTTTGGTTGCTTCCCCTTGGTGGTTTCTCTTTGTTGGTGCCTGGGGGTTTCGTTCTTGGTGGTGTCTGTGGACGGTGCGGCTCTCCATGGGCGACGGATCGGGTTGGTGGACGGCGGTGGCTGTTCTGTGATCAGGGGTAGCGGTGCGGCTCAACTTCGTGGCCAACGGCTATTCTGTGGGCATGGCAGGTTGCTGTTTGGGCTAGGGATTCTGGCGGGTTTGGAGTTTTTTGTGGGCTTTTGGTTTTTGTGGGCTTGTGTTTTTCTCTTTGCTTTGTGTTTTTTTTTTCTGTGGGCTTGTGAAGTTGTCTTTTATTTTTTATTTTGTGGGCTTGCAATTTCCCTTGAATGTTTTTGTATCCTTCATGGACTTCGGTCCAAACTCTGTATCCCTTTCTTGTTTCGTAATGAAATGAGGCTTTCGTCAAAAAAAAAACCAAACCTCTTACGTTGTATGTCAATTCCGTCTATTGTTTTTTTTTTTTTTTACCTCAATCAGATCCGCAACATGTTGGGAGTTCTCTTGACGTACACTAATTATGGAGAATGAGTGATTGATATGACGGATTCTCTTCTAACCAAGAATAAGCTAGGGTTTGTCACTGGGATAGTCGCCCGCGCCCAACTGTTGCACGTGAGCTGCTGGATGCTTGCCTTTATTGTGATTAGGGATGACAATGGAACGGTTATGGGGCGTATTTCTCTAATCCACCCACATCCTAATTTTCAAATACCCAAACTCATATCCAGAGGAATGTTTTCTAACCCCACCCCATACCCAGGGTTTTCGGGTCCCCATGAGTAATAATACCCTCTTTCGTACATACCTAAAATTCAACATGTAGATATTCAATTATAACACTAACACGCCTATTAAACCATGACATCTATAAATATACGACTTTTCTTAATTCAATAATACTATCAGAATTATTCATCTCTGACTCCACACATCTATTCAAATAATTTAACATTGTTATACCTAATGTAATCTTGTTGACAAAGACAAAAGAGGTAAAAAGGTCAAGGGCAAATTGAGAGAAAGAAATTGGGACTGGGTTTAGATGCCCACTAACTTACATTTCAGTTCTATATTTTGTAAAATTACCCTTTCTTTCATTAGCAAGTTACAATTTGCTATGTTTATTTTCTATATATAAGGGCACAAATTACTTTCATCGTTGTTTCCATCCTCGTCACATTTTCGACAGCCGGAGCCACGACCGGATGGCAGCTAGTGAAAAACTTGACTAGTGGCGGGTAGGGCTGTCCATATGGTTTTGGTTTTAACCGAAACCAAACCAATTGGAAAGCTAATGGTTTCAGTTTTTTGGTTTTAAACCAATAAGCAACTTAATGATTTTGGTTTGGTTAAAATTGAAAAACCAATAGAAACCAATAAGAGACCAATGAGAATAAAATTGTTTATCAACAAATATATATATAAAGCCTGAACCATATATATATATATATTGACACGCATGCCAACCAATAATTTGTAATGGCCATTTACCATTATTATGATGTTTATTCAATAAAAAGGAGAGAAATAGGAATAAATATGAGAGTATGAGTACATGTTGGTTTTTTGGTTATCCAAACCAAAACCAAAACCATTAAGGCCCTTATTGGTTTTTGGTTGCCAAAAACCAATAAGGACCTTAATGGTTTTGGTTTTGATTTTTGGGATTTGGTTTTTGGTTTTTGGTTTTTCATACTTAATAGTTTGGTTAACCAAACCAAACCAAATTGACAGCCCTAGTGGCGGGAGCATGAGGGAGGT